GCCCGTTTCCCATGCTCGTGTACACACTTTCATGGGGCACCACCAAACGCCGCCTGCCCATTAATTCTATGGGGTGAAACCACGTCGCACTTGGGCTATTTAAGCCAGGCACTATCGTCTTCCTCTCCCTCCTCATCCACACCCCATCCTCTGCCTCCTCTGTCCTCCTTCTTCCTTCTTCTCCGTCAAACCCGATCGAGCCCTCGAGCCACCCCGCCACCATGCAGTACAATGGCCCCACCTACCGCTTCCCCCCAACCACGCCGGAAAGGCTCTACCCGGCCGGAGTGTATGTAGAGAGAACCCTTAGGGTTTGGGCGATCTCGAGATGGAGGGGCGCAAGGGAGTTAACGGAGTTCTTCCTTGCGGCCGGCTTCCGTCACCTCCCCCGCGGCTCTCCTCGGATGTACCATCTTGAAGAGGTCAACCACAACGGCGTTGTGGTTGGGCTCCTCGCCACGTTCACTAACCCTTTCGATGATTTCCATCTCCTTGGGCGATTGTATTGGGTTGGTTGTGAGGTCATAGCTTTCACAACCTACAATATCTTCACCGACTTCAACGGCATCTTCCCCAACAACGGCGTTATGCACACGCTCCCGTACCCCATCAACAACAGGAAGGGGGAGGAGTGAAGGGCGGCGCCCGGAGGAGCGAGGGCGCCCGAGGAGCGAGGTGGCCCCGGAGGAGGAGGACAAGAACCCGAAGAACCCGCGTTTGGTGCCCCCCTATCTATCTAGCTTGCTATAGATCTATCGTATTAGTTTTGTTAAGTTGTAATCGTTATGCTACTATTATTAAGTTTTATTTGTACTTTAAGTTGTAAGACTATCATGGAGTTGTAAGGCTATCGTGGAACTATGGGTTGCAATCGTTATGCTTCTATATAATCGTTGGGTATGCTACTATATATATTGTGTGTTTTGTGCTATTATTTGTGGATTGCTATGGGTTGTTTTTGCTTATTATTCGTGTATTGCTATGGGTTGCTACGGGCCCGGGTTTCTACACCCCAATCACCACACACAACATCTTCAAAATATTGGCCAAACCATGGACATGCAACTAGGAGCCCCATGCAAACCCACTATGGACATGGGCGCAACTAGGAAATGCAAACTAATTTACTTCGGGCACTTCATGCACGCATGCAACTCATTTAGTTCATGGAACCGTAGACATGCATAAAAACAATTAACATTTAGCTTTAGTGCATCGAAAAATGATCCATCATAAAATTTAGTGCAAGAAAAAGGCAAAATAAAAGGACAAGTAACATTTTATTGGGCCCCATTTTATTTGCCGAAGTTAGAGGTGGGCTGGTGCCCCTACGCGGGTGAGCTGGTCTTGGGCATGGTTATTTTCTCAGGGCCCATTTTATCACAGCCCAACATCTATTTGGCAGCCCAGTTTTGTTTTTTTACTAAAAACTGAATTTGGGTGTGTACTCTGTTAACTGAAGAACAATAACAGAGGAAACAGAGCATGAACACTGAATAGGGCCCCTGAGAATATCATTACAATAATTCAAGCAAGTTTTGCTTCACACTAATTCAAATTCATCTAACAAATGGTCCCTGGCTAACTCAAACTACTGGGCACCCCTCAAACTAGTTGACACACTAACTGAAACTCTAACAAATTCTAGTGATTGATGAACATCAAGTAAAATAAACCCATAGCAATGGCACAACCATAAAATGCTCCAGCCATCATATTTGCTTGCTGCTTCAAATCGATCAGATGCTTTAGTTGCTTGCCAATTTTCTTCAATTCACACTTCAGTTCTGCACTGTGCATCATCGGATCGGCTCTGTCCGCCAAATTGGGGGCTTGTTACACGGCAAGCCGCCCCCCAAAATTGAGCTCTTGGGTTCCGGTTGATCCCTCCAATTTCAACCATTCAACATAGTCATCGAGCCACTCAAAATGCCCACATTTCTTTAGAATCTGAAAAACAGGGGGCCGGAGGCGCATGAATCCTAGATCCACCACCCAGATCCACCACCCTAATTCGAGGAAAAAAGAAAGAAATCGGGAGAAATTAGACCATAGGATTAGTCAAGAACACAGATCTAACCTGCCCCGGCTGTGGCTTGCTCAAGCATTTCACAAACTCGCGCCCACGGTTGCCATTTTCTTCCCTCACACAAGTCAAACGCTTCAGAGGCTCCATGCGGGGCAATCAGGGCATCTTGTCAGCGGCAGTGGACC